CGGGGGTCAAATCAGGTTGTCAGACCTGAGTACAGGTGCCTCCTCTGCCCAGCGGGTGTCTGATTTGTCTTTGATTCCTCCCCTCTTCTCCTCCCCTTCCCCTCCCCTCTTTCTCCCTTCTTTCTCTCCTCTTCCTCTCCCCCCTTCCCCTCTCCTCCTCCTCCCTTCCTCCCCTTCTCCTCTTCCCTTCCTCCCCCCTCCCCCCTCCTCTTACCCACTCTTATCTCCTTCCCTGTTCTCTCCTCTTCTCTCTTTTCTTCTCCCTCCTTCATTATTTTCTTTTTTAATTAAAACTTTAAGTACCATATGAAGTAATGGGCTTCATTATGACACTTTTCCCTCATGTAAGAAATTATACTTTGTTATTATTTGTACCCTTCCCCTGCCCTGCCCACTGCCCCTGCCTTCCTCTTGCTGGTCTCTCTCCTCCCCACAAATAGTCTTCCTTCTGTTTCTATGTCACATGGATTATACGATGATTCGTCTTCCTTGTTAAAACTAGATTCGGAAAGAAAAAGGTGAATGGAGAGCCATATTCCTCTTTCTCTACTTCCTGGCCGTGGATGTTACAACCTAAGGTAATGCGCAGCTGCAATCTTAAATTGCACATTGTCTTCCATGTTCTGGCCCCTAGAGTAATGCATGTGTATTAGCTGCGGAAAACGGCAAAAATAGAGGTGGAAAACAATCTTATAAAATGAATATCCACCATAAATCTTGAACACACACACAGCATTTGATACTGATAGTTAGACAGTGATGTTAGTAATACTGTTTGCTCTCTGGGTTGCAGTAGGTTACTTAAACCCTTGTAAAACTGTTAAAGATTTCTGTCAAGTGTCTCTCATCCCTTCCCCATGTGATGCTTTCTGTGCTGGTCAATAGACACAGAGCAAATCCCCTTGATAGGGACAGACACCGGGGACAGACACAGAGACAGGCACAGGACAGATTCACAAGACAGCCTTAAGGCAAGCACAGATTTAGACCCATACAACAGACAGGAGACAAAAGACACAGGGAATAGGAAGTGCAGAGCTCAGATCTGGACTCACTCCTGATTAAGTGACTCTAAAGGGAAATGCTTTTATTTCTTTACTTAATGTGAAACCAGTGCCTTACTCTGAGTTTATTATTAATTTGCTCAAACTAACTAGAAAAAGTAACACTAATGGCTGCTGAAAATCTGGAATCATAGGAAGTTTCATACAATGATAAAGGGAGAACAAACCTAAAGAATATCCAGAAAATTCCTCATCAGCATTTGCCATAGCTGGATAGAAACATAATCTATGTCCCAGTAATTTCATTCGTAGCTATACGTGTAAGAGAATGTCTGCATATGTTCAGCCAAAAACATACAAGATATTTCCACCAGCATAACTACTTAAAAGCCAGGCTAGAAACAAACCCCACATCTGCCGACATCACAGTGAATACATACATTCTGGTTAGCCACCCGGTGGAGAGAAGAGTAAGTTGATGCTATGAGCATCAGTGTGAATGAAAGTTAAGTGGGAATAAAATCTAAACATGATTCCATTTCACAAAATAAGGGAAAAGAAAGGAGGTAAAGATCTGAATGCTGACTGCCACTATAGTGGAGAGTAAATACTGGAAAAAGGCACAAGGAGCCTCGTTATAGCCTGCGTCTTTTTTTTTTTTTTTTTTTTCAAGACAGGGTTTCTCTGTATAGCTTTGCACCTTTCCTGGAACTCACTCTGTAGCCCAGGTTGGCCTCGAACTCACAGAGATCCACCTGCCTCCGCCTCCCAAGTGCTGGAATTAAAGGCGTGCGCCACCACGACCCGGCGATAACCTGCATCTTGAAGGCATGAGTTGAAGGGAAGTATTCACTTTGTAAAGTCCGTAGACTGTACTGTTAGGATATGACAGTGCTTCATCAGACACAGCGGCAAAGCTGTGTGCCTCCTTCTTCCTCTTAACAATGGACATGCTGCACAGTTCCTGGACAGCATTTTCATGGACTCAATAGAAAAGGTATTTTGTGAAGGAGTCACACACAATGGTGGCCTTGAATGTAGTGTCTATGGTTGTTATATGAATGTCAAATCCTCACTTTTGCAGTTTGGTTCACCAAGTGGCTCATTTATGGCTAATGACGTCTAAGAGAAAGAAGCCTGGTTAACATTCCCCTGGCTCTTTTCCCGTTTCCTGAAGATTAGAAGATGAGCTCTTAGGAAAAGCTGCCTTGGACATGGGGAGATAGAAGTCAAATGTTGAGGGAGGCAGAGACATTCTATCCTTTTGTCTGGGTCAGCATAGGAGAAAGAAAGATTCTAGTTAGTTTGAAACATGGGTTTAGAAGCACTCTTTGGGACAGCCCCTGATACGGCACCCTTACTAATACAGGAATTGAAGTGGAGAAACCAGTCAAGGTAGACAGGTTGAAAAACTGACATTTTTAGTGTTTGCTGTTTCTGAATTGCTTTGTTGTCAGTTGCCACCACATATCCCAGGGAGGACCCCAAAACAGCACAGGACAGTTGTGTGATGAATGGTCATGCCAATTTGACTGGATTAAGAGACACTTAGGATATTATTAAAGTACTTTCTGGTTGTGTCCATGAGGGAACTTCTAGAGTCAATTAGGCTGTGAGGACTCTGACTTAATGAATGGATTAATCCTCTGATAGATTCACCATGTGAATAGGAATATTGAAAAATGGTGGATCTCTCTCTCTCTCTCTCTCTCTCTCTCTCTCTCTCTCTCTCTCTCTGTGTGTGTGTGTGTGTGTGTGTGTAGGTGCTGGTTGGAGGAAGTATGTCACTAAGGCTATGTTTTCGGGGATTTATGCTATATTAGCCTTTTTCCTGTTACTACCCTGTTCTGCTTCCTGCCTACCATGACATGAAGCCCTCCCGCCCCATATTCTTCTTACCACAATGGGTGGAGAACTCTGCAACTGTGAGCCAAATAAGCCCTTTCTCCCTTAAGTTCTTTCTGTCAGGTATTTGGCCATGGCAATGATAAAATCAATGCAAGGGGAAAGAACATTTTCCTGTAAGTAGCCTGCCTCAGACTCTTCTAATTCTATCCCTAGTAATTCGAGATTCAGTTTCCTTTCCTGTAAAATGGAAAGATGTCTGAATGACCATGACCGTGGAGATCACTTCCATCAGTAAATAGTCTTAGAATTTCCTTTAAAAATGTGTTTGGGGGGGCTGGAGAGATGGCTCAGAGGTTAAGAGCACTGACTGCTCTTCCAGAGGTACTGAGTTCAATTCCCAGCAACCACATGGTGGCTCACAACCATCTGTAATGAGATCTGATGCCCTCTTCTGGCCTGCAGTCACATATGCTGTACACATAATAAATAAATAAATAATTTAAAAAAAATGTGTGTGGGACAGGAGGGAAAGATAAAGACCCTTTACATAAAGAGACTGGTAACTGATATTGTTCAACAAGATCTCAGCATATATGTGCTGCTGAGTTAGCCTTTGGTCTATGGTGCTTGGGAGGAATATGAGACTAAGCAGTCTTGTGTGGATATAAACTCTGCTCCACAGAGAAACATAGCAAAGGAAGGATGTAGAGAAGAGAGGCAAGAATCCCAAGATGGGAGCACTTGGGAGGCAGAGCCAGGCGGATCTCTGTGAGTTTGAGGCCAGCCTGGACTACCAAGTGAGCTCCAGGAAAGGCGCAAAGCTACGCAGAGAAACCCTGTCTTGAAAAAACCAAATAAATAAATAAATAAATAAATAAATAAATAAATAAATAAATAAAATAAAAAAAAAAAAGAATCCCAAGATGGTGAATCAGAGACAAGGATGACCCCTGACTGGAGGGACAAGGCTATACTTTTGAATGATGAACTGCCTTTTTAGGGTTCCCTACAAAGTATACTAGATGGGGTGGGAAAGGCAGAACTTTTGGGGTATTAACCATCTACCTTTCCAGGTTACTGCCTCTCTGAGTAACGCAGCTTCAACTAAAGACTCAACCCCAGCCTCCGCTGACTGTCTGTGGTGACAGGCAGCATAGACTGGCATTCTGGTGCTCATGTGATCCCAGGTGCTTGCGGCCAGTCCCAGAAAGGCTTAGCTGTTTTGTTGCATCCTGATATATGACTTGAGGGAGCCACTTTGAAATGTGAGATCAATGCTTTTGTGTTTGTGTCAATTGCTTAAGGACATCACAATTAATTTTATACGCTCCAAGTGCTCTGCAATAGTGTGGTAGGGATCCTGTGAAAGGCAGGATGTTTGAGGATGGTTTCTGAAAACTCCCCAGGGGCATCTACACTGAGAGCAGGAATGGACTGTAGCTGCAGCATCAGTGGAATGGGGAAGTGTCTCTCAGGAACAGAGTTCACACCCTTCTGATTAAATTTACACATTTCTACTTCCTGGCCTTCATTTAATCTTTTCTATAAAGTGTAACTCTGCCATAGAAAAGGCAAAAAGAAACTAAGTATTTTTATTTCACAAGCTCTGGCCCAAATTGTAAATAAATATTTCTCTTTTCATCTTTTTTTTTTTAATATGATGGCATTTATGGGTCTCAGACCTCCCAGTAACACTCCTTTTAGTTATCACAGTATCAATAAGCAACAAATATGAACTACAAAACATATAACTTTGCAACAGAAAAATTAATAATCTATAGTTCATCGAGGCACATTGGACTAATGGAGCCTAATAGAAACCCAAGAGGACTGTTAGACAACGACCAATGGATATGTTTTGGATTTTGAATGAAAAAAGAAGAAAAATAATAGAATTTTCTTTCTAAATCTTTCAAAAGACTGAATTTCTACACTTGTGTTTATTTGAAAGGAACACATTTGTGAGATTTCCTGAGATTATGCTTTGACCCGTACACAGGTGGCAAAAACTTCTTCATTCACTACATAGTTTAATGAAATACGGGCTATCTTACCTGAGGATTTTTAAACACAGCATATTTTTCCTCTTTCTCCAAAAACAGTACTTTGTTTTCTGTGTCTCTTGTCCAGTCTGATAAGACTTCAACAACGTTTTCATGGTCTTCAAATATTCTCTCTGATGAAATAAAAAAGATATTTCAGACAAGAGTCTATTATTGAGTTAAGGGCAATGGTTCACAAGGTTTCTAAAGATTGGCAGATCTTACTTCGTTGGGTTTGAATTTATTCGGCCAAGGGCACATGCTCTGAAAACTGGATGGGTATCTGAACATGGCGGAGGCGGTTACTATGTCAACGACCCCCAAAAGCTCACCGGGGACCCCTGCTCAGCTCCTTCTCTGCCTTCTTGTGTGGCACATCTCCAGGCCCCTGTGTACCTGGTCCCGAGTAAGCTATTTCCTTTCCTGAGCTAGCCATTGTCTCTCGGTGCAGTCCACTGTAAAGAGGCGGAGAACCGGAGCGGCCCGGCGCCCGGCCTCTGCACCAACACCCCTGCCTGCCCAACAGGGCATCGTTCCTGATGTTTTTATATGTCAGCGTCGGGTTCTGAATCGAGTTACATAAAAACATTATACATGGCAGGAATTACAGCACTTTGGGCGGTAGTTATCATGCTTTTCATTTTAAATCGTTCTTACCGGAGGTATAGCCAGTCACTATGGGAGTGGCTACAGAGCAATGAGTGCTTAAACATTGTGAACGAAACTGTGAACCTCACAACTGATCGCTCTAAAACTCCAAAAACAATAGAGGAATGCCTGAACCAAGCTTGAGAGGAACGGAAGCTTTTTCTTCCCTTGTTTTCTTGACTCACAGAATTGAAGAAAACGTCAAGACCTCTGACCAAGGGTGGGATTATGAGCATGTGCCAGCATGCCTGATTAAGGGACTATTTTAATGCGGACCACTTTCTATAGAAAAAAAATTGCCCTAAAGACCAAAAGGAGATAATTCTTGTTTTCATACAGCCCTCTTGGGAGGCAGTGTGCCCTGAGGATGAATGGAAGGAACAGAGAATTTATTAAATTGCTGAAAGGTAAAAGAAAAAAGGAAAAACAAACAAATGAATAAATAAACAAATGAATAAATAGGCTATCAATTTATTTCATTGCCTTTTGACCCCTGGGGCTGAACCTCTTCCATTAGCAAAGTATTATGATAAGTTGAGTTTGGAGAGAGGAAGGGGAAGTGAGCGTAGGTGTAAGATCTGGCAGTCACATTCTGTCTCAAGGAAGCAACCCAGATCTCCTGCAATCTGCTGAGCTTCCTAAACATGTAGCAGGATGAACCATATTAGCTCTTTCCTCCTCCTTTAGAGTCACTAGCAAGGTGACAGTAAGAAAGTTCATACCCCCAAAGCCTGGCCACCCTCTACCAACCGAGTGTCTGTCGCCAAGAAACAAGGAAGCAAGTACTCATCTCAGATGAGGGCACTGACGTGTTGTTATGTCTTGAGATCTTGAAATAAATGTATAAGACAGACTAAAGCCCATGATAGAACAAAAGCCAGGCTTTGGAAGTACAGCCCAGATGTGGGGAAGAGACTTACCAATTTGCAACTCGGGATATATTTCATAAAGACACCAGTCCACATTGCAGTCACAATGGGTTTTTTCAAAAAGGTTGTCCAGGACATCCCGAGCCAACTGTCGCTCATCCACCATCAGCGACTTGGTGCTGTTATCGTCCATATGCACCTTAACCACAAGCTGAAGATGAAGCCACAGAGCATCAGTCAGTTTCAGCAACCGGGGCAGGCTGCTAAGCTTAAGGTGCCAGCACCGCTATTATTTCTGACACTGTACATTAGGAATGCATCCTCTGGATAGCTCGCTAGGCTGTTGTTACTGTAGCTCACAGGGCTCACAGTTTGGTAAGACTGCAGATGACTTTTCTCCACCAGCAGTAGTGGCATGGTGGTTATGGGGGGTAACCAGCTGCTTTCTGATCGGATTTAAAGCCTCCTCTATAGGATAGAACTCATGTCTGGTACTATAAACTGGGCCAAGAACCCAAGGCTGAGGGGATCATGGGTCCCAGAGGAAAACCCAATACTACTATTTTACTAAATGGATGTAGCATCAAACTGCCTTCTAAATATTTAACATTTTTATCCACAGATTAATGCCGTGCTTAATGATGAGGACTGCTGCAAAACAGTGTCTTCCGGACAGGACAGGATTGCTGAACTCTTGAACTTACAACAGCTGCCATTACTTGTACAACATTTGTTCAGGAGCAGTACAGTCAAAACTGCAGCGTGGGAGAGGTGTTCAGGAAGCCTCACTCTGACTTAAGGAGCTACTATCAGTTGATGGCACTTGGGAGAGGAAGAGCCAGTTTTCTTCAGGGATATGATCCCTGATAGGTTGCCCATTCTCCACTGGATGGGCCTATCTATACATCTGCACATACTGGCAGCACTGACTGGATTCATTGAGTTGAAAAAAACAGGCTATAAAGTTGGGATGGGATGTGGTAGGGGGTCTTGGAAGAGTTGGAGAGGAGACTTGTGGGGGGTGAATATGGTCAAAATACATTGTGTACATGTCTGTAATTTTCAGAGGGCAAATAGAAAATATTTTAAAAGTGGAATGTATCCCCCGACCTCACTGTGAACTCCTTTATATATTAGAAACACGGAGGTGGAAAAAATAAATTCCAAAACACAAAACAGACAATAAACAAGGCTCTTGGCCCAATTTTAAGCCACTGCATTCTGGTGGGGGAGACAGAAAACAACCCTGAAGAAGCACCAACTTCTCGCTTTCCCAACATCCTTCCGTTTCTTGTTCCCGTTTTGTTTTGGGGGCTAGCAGCATTTCTTGATTAAAAGAACTCCCTGTATCTTTGTGACTGAAGTTCCTTTGTTAAAGGGACTTTCAGGGTAAAAGCCTGGGCATGACAGCCTCAATATCCTAGGCTTTGCCACTGTCCCCAGTACGCCAATTAAAGGGACTAATTAAAGTGACCAGCAGAAAGAGGAGATGTATCCAGTAAGACTACCCTGGGAAGAGGAAGATATGAAGAGGTGCAGTGGCCCTGGAGCAGTTGTTTAGAGTATTGGCAAGAGGTTTAAGGTTTAACTAGGGGGCAAGAGATTCGCACAATTAAACAGTCCTGGCTAAGGTGTGGCCTTGCCCATCATTGACTTGCCATTGTTTTGACTCCTGTCTGACCTACAAGGTGGCCTCATAAAGTGTCATAACTATATGAAATCTCTTCCCGAGGAAAGTTCTTCCTCTAGTTGTGTCCATTTCAGATAGCCTAGAATGACCTGGATAAAAGAGTATCAATTGAGTAATTGTCTTTATCAGGTTGGTCTGTGGACACATCTGTAAGGGACTGTCCTGATTGTTAATTGATGAAGGTTGGCCCAGCCCACTGTGGACCGCATCATTCCTTGCAGAGGTGGTCCTGGGCTGTATAACAATGCTGGCGAAGCATGAATGAGCCTGTGAGTTAGCCAGTGAGCAGGCTAGCAAACTGCATTCTTTCCACAGTTCCTGCCTTGAATTCCAACCTGACTTTGCTCAGTGATGTTCCCTGATCGGGAAGACCAAGTCAAATAAACCATTTCCTTCTCAAGCTTGCTTTTGGTCCGAGTTTTTTTTTAGTCATGTCAACAGAGTGAAACTAGAACAGGCTGATGGCACCAGAGTTCAAGCCTTCCTTCTGCTCTCAGCATGGGTTAAGAGTGAAATTTGAATTCGTTGAGGTCCATGATTTTAATAGTCTAAAAACACATGGAGGAGACAAGTGTCTCTTTTGGTACTTCTTTACCCATCATGATGGGCACCCTCTTTACCTTGGATAAAGTTGGGTCTTTTTTGTATTTTTCTGTGAAAGATGTCCATGTTCTTGGCTGAGAATTACTGCTATAGAATTACTGCTATAGAACAGTTATATGTTCTAGGAAACACCACTGCAGTCAGGGCTTAGAAAGCAGTGATTCTGATAGAGAAAAATATCGACATTTGACCACATTTCATTCCTGCTTAGAGATGCTTTAGAAAGAAAAACGTATGCTGCCTTTTCCTTTCATTTTTATAGTGAGGAAGAGATTGCCAAACCACATAGTTTCATAATGATGGAAGAGGCTCCTTTTTGGGGGGCAGAAATGGAAAACTAGGTTTAATCCACATGTATTTATGAATATCTATAATTGTAAAGTTTAGAAAACCTAAGTGACTGAATAGGAAGAAATTATGTTTATGGTTCCTCACAGATTCTGCCACACTTGCAAGCAGCAGAGTGGTTCTGCACCAACACGGACAGCACCGCATCACGGCAACGCTCCGCAATCCATCACATGATCTTCTCTGGAGCCAAATGATTTGGTAACGAAATCTCATTTTCACTTGCAAATTGTTAAATGGAAAATATTTTAGCCCTGAATCGTGCAAATTACTTTTTTGGGGGGCTTCTATAATAAGATTTACAAATGGAATTGCTCTGTCACAGAGCTTTGGAATAAATTAAATTAACAAATAAGTCAAATTGTGTTTCCAGCTTCAAAAGCTTGGTGGCATAAGCTATGCACATCATTTGTAATTCAAAATAATGTCAGCACCCCATCAGAACCTTAAAAGCAAATAATTCTGTGGTGGGGACCCCTCCCCCCTTTTTTTTAACGAGACAGAGTCTCTGTGTAACTCAGGCTGTCTTTGACCTTTTGATCTTCCATCTCAGTCTGTGTAACTCAGGTGTCTTTGACCTTTTGATCTTCCACCTCAGCGTTCCTGCACTAACTCACTTGCATCCTTTAAAATGTGTGCGAGACCCTCACAGCCATTCTCTTTAAATGTGGATCATTTCTATTCCTTTCTTAACGTGCTGTGTCACATACTGGGTGTCGTCTTAAAGAATACAGCCGGAGAGTCGGGAGCCTTCTTTCCTTCCCCATTGGTGAGAGCTTTTCTCTGCATCTTCCTTGGGTCCAGGCCTTGTGCCTTGGGTTCACTGACACAATGCATTGAAACTAAAAGGGGCAAAGCTGTGTTGTTTTGGATAGATGGCCGGGAAGAGCCGAAAGGCCCCCTCCCTGTTCTTCGCGGGCCATCTGCGCAAGCAGTCTGCATTTGCTCTTGTCCCGTCTTCTGTAAGAGATACTTCTCCTTTCGTTTCTCTTCTAAACACGTACAATGTGGCCCTCATTTATAAATCATCCAGTGCCTTGAAAGTATGTAATTATGATTTAAAAAAAAAAATCCTCCCTCCATCCCTTCATCCCCCTCTCGAGGTGATGAGGATCAAGCCCAGGGCCTTGCACTTGGTAGGCAAACATTCTACCACTGAGCCATATCCCAAGTCCTTGGGGTTTTGAGACAGGGTCTCATGGTGTGCCCAGGCGTCTCTTGAACTTGTGATCCTCCTGCTGCAGCCTCCCTGATCTTACTCTCTTTTATCTGTATTCACAGGCAAAGCCAGCCACTCCATACGGCATATCTGCACCTGCCACTTATTTGTAGCTCAAGTCAACGCATGCTCAGCCGTGCTAGAAGGAATCTAGAACAAGTCACCCCACCGCCACTCTCTGCTACTATAATTTATTGTCCTTGAGAGCTTGTTTGGTGTTCTATCATGGGAGCATAACCACCTGTATGCTTTTGTCAGAGGAACTGTCCTTATTGATGAGGAACGTAGTTCTAGCTGGCCCAGCCTCCAAGTGTGGGAGGGACACATGTGGGATACTGAAGGAGGAAGAGGGCACCCACTTAGTGGGCCAGAGCAGCCATAGCAGTCAACGAGAAGCACTGTCACAGTCAGATCACCCACACATCCCCACAATTCATTTTCCATGCATCAGCCAGTATGGTTTTTAAAAACCATTCATTAGTCTCATTTAGAGCTCTCAAAAGGCTCCCTATTGCACTTGAGACATAGTCCAACCTTTCCTTGCCACCTCTGAGCTCTTGTGGCTCCCACCGCCACTCTAAAATCGACCTCTTCCTTTGCTTGTACTAAGTTGCTCACTGAACTGTGGTCAACAGTCTTTTATTTCGTTCCATCTCATCAAGCTGATTTTTGCTTGAGGAGAAAATGCTGGTTGGCTCATCAAAGCTCATCTCTGCTTGGGGATCCCCTTCTCCTCGGTCTCATGGCCCTAGCTGTTTCCGCTTTTGCTCAAGAGTCACCTTCTCAGAGAGGCTTCATTATCACCAATACATCTGAGGAGTGGCTTAGGCACTATCTACCACATCTTCTGGTTTCCCTCTCATGCTTCTGCTTTTTTTTAAAAAGTGTAATAAATAATAATAATAATAATAATAATAATAATAAATAATTATCATCATCATTGTTATTAGATAAGGTCTTGCTGTGCAGCACTAGCTGGGTCTAGATTTACTGTTGTAGTCCAGGCTAGCCTTGAATTTGCAGCCCTCCTGCCTCTGGATCCTGAGTGTTGGGATCAGAAGTGTGGGACACCGTGTTGAGCCTGTTAATTTTCTTCGCTGCACTTGTCTCCCTTGCTAGAATTTAGCTCGGCACAAGTAACAATCCCGCTGGACCTGCTCACCATTGAACACAACTAGCACCTCCTCTAATGCATGGGGGTGCATTGTTAAAGAAGACAGTCTCCAGAAGGGCTTCTGTGGAGGTCCAGAGGGAATATGGGCCATACATTAGTGGGTTGTACATTGGGTGGTGATAAAAACACTGAGGAGAAAAGTAGAAAGGGCAAGAGAATTTTAGGGAGTAGTGTGTACAGTTTGGGACAATCTCACTCAGAAGGTGACTAAATACTTAAGGGAGGGACAGAAAAAAGTCCAGTAAGAATCTGGGTAAGAGTG